GTAAAAAGACAGTATAAGTCATTATAATCAGTATTTAAGTCCCCACTGGATACAACAACTGCCTCATTTGTAATGGGTTTTATTGGTTTTGTCTTGTCCTGCTGAGAGACTGCATCACAGTATGGTAAGGGGCGTAACATTTCTGTCACGCGCTTGAGGCATTCTGCCAATCACAACACACTGGATAGCTGGCCAATCAGAGCACACCTCGCTTTTCAGAACGATGAGCTTTGTAAAAATCGACGCGTTTCAGAAAGGCGGGGCATAGAGGAGAAACAATAATGTACATTATGTGGAAAAAATTTTTTTTTTAACCTTAAACCGAATAAACACATTGCATTACATCAAATACACAAAATAATGTTATTTTTAGCAATGTCATATGACCCCTTTAAAAGGTTTTATTAACAGCTCGAAGAGTATACATGATTTTCAAACAAAAAGAGTGCAAATAAAGAGGGAAGCAAAACTTCAGGATGGGGAACGGTGCCAAAATAACAAACAAAAACGATTCTACTCTGGGGGTTACATTCTTCCTAAACCTATCAAAGAAAAGAAAATCAACAACAAATTTATACACTCACTCACTCCCTATCTAATCCTCAAACCAGGAGAAAACAGTTAAGTACAAAAAAAATAAATAAAAATGGCGCCCACCTCTCTACAGGGTAACAAACAATCAATCGGGAGAGTAACTGCTTAAGCAGTTTGGTAACACAGCTGTAGGCTGAGTATCCTGCAGTAAACACAGTGCACAAAGTCTAAAAGGCTTTCAACAAACTGAGCTGGGCAGGGCTGGACACAGGACATGCGCTGGAGAGAAATTCTCTTCTAAACTGCTACTCTCTCAGCTGGTAAGCAGGTGCAGCTGGAAAGGGCAGTCAGCTACCTGCCAGAGTGGAAAGAGTGGGAGGAGCCAGAGGAGCAGGAGACACAGAGAGAAACAACAACAAAAACCATACCACAAAACACAATGCAGTTAACATAAAAGTAGATACGTCATTGGATGTTACAATATTCTAATTGAAAAAGTTATTTTAAAATATAATATATTTCATATTATTACTGTGTAACTGTAATGTTTGAATGTAACCATTTTAAATGCAGTCTTGGTGAGCATAAGAGGCTTATTTCAAAAACAATCTTATCAACCCCAATCTTTTAACAGTAGTGCACACAATCTGATATATGAATGTTTATTTCCACCAGTGTTGCAAGATAAAAGCAAGCACAGCACATTTACTGTACTGCATGTAAAGTGTTGAACTAACAGATTTTTTTTTAGATAAAATATTAATAGCATATAATTAATAATGCATGTTTAAATGATTCAGTAAACTGTATTAGTTGTAAACTTATATTATTGTTAGTATTTAAACATTATTAAATACTGTCAGGTTGGGATGCAATGAGCGACTGGAAGGACGTGTTGTCTGGAGGAGAGAAGCAGCGCATGGGCATGGCCAGGATGTTTTACCATAAGTACGTCTGTTCTGTTTGACTGACATTTTATTAAATATGACACACACGATTTGAGGCAGACACATATATAATGGAAGTACCATTTTTTACACCATGCTTAATACTGGACTAACATCTATTTAAATCCAATTTAATGTAAGTTAATAATCAGGAATATTACTGAGATATTTTCTCAGGAATGATCTTTCAGTTGCTTGAGATAACTGGTAGAATGACTTCCTCTGTCTAAAATAAAAAATAATACTTTGAAGATACTAAATTATGATACATGTAAGAAAGCTGCTCATGGTTTCCTTAAAGCCATTCAAGTGATAAATATTCAATTACTGAACGTTATTAGCATTTAACCGGATTCAGTGGGTGTTTTTGGAAACTATACAGCTCACTTTGCGTTTGAAGTGAGCAGCTGCTTTAGGGGAGATTATTGTAGAACCACTGAGATATTTATTAATGGGGAAGTAAAAAAAAACCAAGTCAGAAATGTAACAATTCAACTGCCAACTACTGCTTTTAAGTCTGTTTTAAAAGTCCCCAACAACTTGTGTGTTTAAAGGGTTAGTTCACCCAAAAATGAAAATTAGCCCATAAATTACTCACCCTCAAGTCATCCTAGGTGTATATGACTTTCTTCTTTCAGACAAATCCAGTCAGAGTTATATTAAAAATTGTCTTTGATCTTTCAAGCTGTTTAATGCCACGGAGCAAAGGAAGCAAAGTTTCCTTACTTTAGCAAAGGAAAACCAGTCTCCTCTTGGCTTATATCGAAATCCTCCGACATCGTTCTTTACAAATCCTCATTTTGTACTTCTAATTAGTGACCGTTGTTTTGTTTTGATCTCTCCCTGCGCTTCCGCGTTCGTCACTTCTGAGCGGCTCATGCGCAATGCCGACGTCATCCACCCGGAACTGCTTCTGTGTACAACTGTGAGTTCAAGCTAGATTAAAGTGATTATTAAGTTTTGAATATGGATATTTTTCTTACAAAAACGCATCGATTTGCTACAGGAGGCCTTTGTTCACCCCCCGGGGCCGTGTGAGACTTTTTTTTTTTAATGGATGGGTGCTTTTTATTTAACTTCTTTT